TTTGACTTGTTCCAAGATGCCATTTCTGTTAAAGCATCATTCGCTGTGCCTGAAAACAAAGAATGGCAGGAAAGAGACCTGAAACGGAACAGGACTAACTGGGAGCCGTCACGGACGGACTCCAGAAATGCCCCGCAAGTGCAGACACAGAGGCCACAATGGAGAGGGCGTCCTATGGCCTTTGTGGCTGGTGGAGCTGGAACCCAGATGCTGCTGGTGTAGACAGGATCTCTACCCCACCCGATATTTCAGCATCCTGAAATATCTAGTGCTAAGGGCAAGAAAGAGGAGTTTGGCTGCTGGTTTGTTTTAAGCTAGAGGAGGAAGTTGAAAGATTTGCATCCAGGCTGAGCGTAGTGGCTCACCCCTGTAATCCCAGCACTTTGGAAGACCAAAGCAAGTGGATCATGAGGTCGGGAGTTCGAGATCAGCCTGACCAACATGGTGAAACTCCATCTCCACTAAAAATACAAAATTAGCCAGGTGTCATTGCTAGCTCCTGTAATCCCAGCTACTCAGGAGGCTGAGGCAGGGGAATCACTTGAACCCAGGAGGCGGAGGTTGCAGTGAGCCAAGATGGTGCCATTGCACTCCAGCCTGGACAACAAGAGCAAAACTCGATCTCAAAAGAAAAAAAAAAAGACTTTCATCCAAAGCCTGTGCCTGGGGTCTTAATTCCTTTGGAAGAGGGCCGAGGACTGTTCAGGAGAGGATCTTTGACACCCTGGCACAAGCATAGATGCTGTGGAACCCGTGGTGTGCGGGCAGAGGTGTAGCAACCAGCTCTCCAAGGGAAAGTGAGTGTGTGGTGCACGTGTGTGCATGGGCAAGTACATATATTTGCATATCCACACACATGTGTACTTTGGTTTATTATAAATTGTATTGATGTAAGCTGGGCACAGTGGCTCACACCTGTAATCCCAGCACTTTAGAAGACTGAGGTGGGAGGATCACTTGAGATTAGGAGTTCGAGACCAGCCTGGCCAACATGGTGAAACCCCATCTCTACCAAAAGCATAAAAAATTAGCTGGGCATGGTGGCAGGCACCCTGTAACCCCAGCTATGCGGGAGGCTGAGGCAGGAGAACTGCTGGGACGGAAGTTGCAGTGAGCCGAAATCACGCCACTGTCCTCCAGCATAGGTGACAGAGCAAGATTCCATCTCAAAAAAAAAAAAAAAAAAAATTTTAGTGATGTAAAGAATGTGCCCCACACAATTTACAAATAAAAAAAAAAGTTACAATACTCTTTTTTTGTAAGTATAATATAATCGATTCATTCATAGGTAGCAGTTTTGTTGATTTTTGCCCTCAGCAAAATCTGTAATGAATCTATGGTTACAATTGATCAAGAAGTGTAATTCTTCAGAAATACCAGTTAATATTTTCCTTTTTTAAAAAAAATTATTGATTGATTTTTATCTTTTTGAGACAGTGTCTTGCTCTGTGGCCCAGGCCGGAGTGCAGTGGTGCGATCACAGCTTACGGCAGCCTCGACTTCCTGGGCTCAAGCAATCCTCCCACTTCAGCCTCCTGAGTAGCTGGGATGACAGGCACACCCCACCATGCCCGGCTAGTTTTTTCCCAAATTATTTGTAGAGATGGGGTCTTGCTATGTTGCCCAGGCTGATCAAACTCTTGGGCTTAAATGATCCTCCTGTCTCAGCCTTCCAAAACGCTGGGATTACAGATGTGAGCCACCACACTTGGCCTTGATTACCTTTGATTTTCATATAATTTATTTAATTATAAGCTCATATAATTTAATTTGTAACAATGGCTGTGTTTAGCATCCAGTTCACCTCATTCCTAAAAATCTGTCCATCAGCTTTCACAGCTGGTACAAGCTGACTCACCACCTCTCTGTGTGGGGACAGCACGGCTAAGAACATCGCCGAGCTGAGGAGGAAGCCAGTCTCTTCACATCTGCCCAGAACCCAGGGCATCTCACCTCAGGCACTAAACAGTGGGAAGCACTGGGAGTTACAGAGCCGGCACTGTGGACGCTGTGCTGGGCAGGGAAGCTCCTCCAAATGGCCTCAGAGGAAACAGGAAGCAGGAAGCACAGACAAAACAAGAGACCAGGCCGGGCACGGTGGCTCACACCTGTAATCCTGGCACTTTGAGAGGCCCAGGCAGGCGAATCACGCGAGGCCAGAAGTTTGAGACCAGCCTAGCCAACATGGCGAAACTCTGTCTCTACTAAAAAGTACAAAAATTAGCCGGGTGTGGTGGCACATGCCTGTAATCCCAGCTACTCGGGAGGCTGAGGCAGAAGAATTGCTTGAACCCAGGAGACAGAGGTTGCAGTGAGCCAGGACTGCACCACTGCACTCCCCCCCTGAGCAACAGACAGAGACACTGTCTCAAAAAATAAAACAAGAGAGGCCAGGCGCGGTGGCTCAAGCCTGTAATCCCAGCACTTTGGGAGGCCGAGGCGGGTGGATCACGAGGTCAAGAGATCGAGACCATCCTGGTCAACATGGTGAAACCCCGCCTCTACTAAAACTACAAAAAATTAGCTGGGCATGGTGGCGCGTGCCTGTAATCCCACCTACTCAGGAGGCTGAGGCAGGAGAATTGCCTGAACCCAGGAGGCGGAGGTTGCGGTGAGCCGAGATTGCGCCATTGCACTCCTGCCTGGGTAACAAGAGCGAAACTCCGTCTTAAAAAATAAAAAAAAATAAAATAATAAAATAAAATAAAAAAGACTGGTTTGCGAAGCACGTGAAATACCCCTTTGGAGCTCCCCAGGAAGAACTGGGGGAGCACTGACGTTCTAATGGGGAAGACCTCAGCAACCAGTGGGCATCTGGGTGAAATCACTCAGCACAAGATCACAATACGCTTTCAACAACCCATTAGGCTCCTCAGAAGCTGCAGGACCATAGTGTCGTTATAACTGACACCCGTGCCGATGTACCACAGGCCATCAGTCCTCCCCAAGCCCGCCTTCATTCTGGCCTCTCCAGTGCCTTCCTGGACTTCTCTAGGGAAGTGGCCGGGTGATTTTCCTCCTCTCTAAACTTCTTTTTATTTTATTTTATTTTTTTTGAGATGGAGTCTCCCTCTGTTGCCCAGGCTGGAGTGCAGTGGCAGGATCTCAGCTCACTGCAACCTCTGCCTCCCCAGTTCAAGTGATTCTCCTGCCTCGGCCTCCCGAGTAGAGGAGACTATAGGCACACACCATCACGGCCAGCTAATTTTTGTATTTTTGGTAGAGACAAAGTTTCACCATGTTGGCCAAGCTGGTCTCGAACTCCAGACTTCAGGTGATCCCTCTGCCTCGGCCTCTCAAAGTGCTAAGATTATAGGTGTGAGCCACCTCACTCCAAACTTCATCTTACTCTCAGACACCCTCACCCAGTTCAGAATTTAAGTGCTCTTCAACCCAACTCATGGAATTCTGGCTGCAAAGAAGTTTAGAGCTTTCCTAAAATAATCCCTTTGTTTTTAAAGATGAGGAAGCTGAGAGAAGGGAAGTGACTTACTCAAGGTCACAAAGAAAATCCAGGGTGGAACTGGGTAGGGTAACCAATTGTCCCATTTTACCTGGGGCTGGGGGCGGGGCTTCTGGACAAGTGGCTCCCAGAGCTGAGACCACAACTCAGGGCTGACTTGTCCCCAAGGTGGTGGGGGTGGGGAGGTGTGGCGGGGGGGGGGGGGGAGGTGGAGGCGGGGCAGTTCACAGCCAGCCCCCAAAAGGAAAGGAGGCCTGGATCAGTACAGAGCTGCTTCGGGATGGAATTTTCCAAGGGAAGAGAAAAGAAAAGGCCACATCTGGGTGCTGGGACCTTTCACTCTGGCCCATGCCTGGCACCCCAGGGATTCCCCACCTGCTGTGTGTTTTCTGGCCCCTGAGTGTAACCTGCATCCTCCCTTTCCATGCCAAGGAGACACGAGCTGACTTTATCAGTCCTCTTATCTCTTGGCCGCTACCAGCCACAGCTGCAGGGATATATATGCAAATAGCTTACGATAATATTAATATGTTATTCCCCCCTGGGAAGGCATGTGGAAAGCGTGGTGCGTGTTTCACAATTCTGTTTTGTCCAAAAACGCTGCACGGGCCCAGAATGATTTGAAACAGATTTTTTGCAAAGGCAAAATAAAATTGGAACAAAACCTAGTTGAGGCATATGCCGCTTTCCCCCCGCCCAGCTCTCTCCACCACTGACATATTAACTCTCTTCTCTCTTGCCCCAGGGAGCCTCCTACAAGGCAGCCAGTCTAGGAAATTGCATCGGGCACTCGTCATTCAAGCCTGGAGCCCCTGCCCCATGCCAGGGCAGCCAGTCCCCACCCTGGGCTGACACATCCTTTAAAAGGCTGCTTGCCATGTCAGCCTGCCGCTCCTTCCGCCCCACGACGGCCTCCCTCCTGCAGGTAATGCTCCATTCATACCTCCTTTGCCTTCACCCCTGCTGCTTGGGATAATTGCAGAACCATGGAACACAGAATACCAAATACAGAACACGGGGGGCGTGCAGGAGAGTGTAGCCAAAGCGAAGTTGGAAGAACCTGGGTCTTATTCTCGTTTCTGCCACTGATGGGCTGTGTGACCTCAGCAAGTCACTTCGATTCTCTGGGTTACCGTTTCCTCGGTGTACAATGAGGATACCAATAATACCTACCCCACAGGGGGCTTCTGGGGATTTCCTGAGCTGACAATTCAGAAATGTCTATACAGCACCTGGTGTATAGCAGATGCGCAAGAAATAGCTGTCATCATGAGAGTGTCTTAAAGATCACCTAATTCAACCACCGTTTTAGCATTGGATACATGGAGGCCTGGAGAGGGCAAATAACTTGCCCAAGGCTTCACAGCACGATACCATCATGTCATCTCATCCTCAACCCAGGTTCCCTCCCCTGGCCTTGGGAGCTCCAGGCGGACGGTGGGTAAGGGGCTGCACCCTCCCGTGCCCCCAGCTCCAGAAGTCTGTCCGCCCAAAGCAGCATCACGGCACACATGGGGATCAGTCACATCACACTCACCATTGAGCAGGTCTGGACACTCAGGTGCCGTCCCGCCTGCCTCCTTGCAGCTGCCTTGCTTTCTCTAGTGCTACCAACAAGCGTCTGCTCCCATCTCGCCAGGGACTCCCGGACTCCAGCTAGGGCTCGGCAAAGTCCATCCACGCTGGCCACCAGGCGCCCGTCCCACTCTCTGGGAAGATCGCCTTGAGGACCTGCTGCAACCCCAGTCTTCCTTCTGGTAGAGGGAGGCCGGTGCTCTGCCGGGCTCTGATAATGCAGCCGGGATTCTTATCTGGCCTGTGTCAGGGTGCAGGCGGCCGTGGAGCTGGGGTTCCAGGAAGCCCTCCTGGGGCCCCCCAGCCGGCCCCGCTCCCCCCCGGATGCTGCCTGCTGGATGCCGCCGATTGCCTGTCAGTGTCACTCCCAGCTCTGCCGGGGGGAATTCCATGCTGGTCCCCAGCAGGCGGGGGGCCCCCACGCCTTCACGTCCCACCCCCCAACTCCCATTTTGGCAAGGGGACTGGGAACAGGCAGTTAATTTCAAGTCCACACAGCGTTTGTGGTCGTGTCCTGAATCCTCCACGATTAATCACAGAGCATCTGATTTCTGCTTTGCCTCAGCGAGGGGCGGAGGGGACGCCTGGAAGTTTCTGTTTACTCCATTCTGCACCGGGCTGTGCGCTAATCACAAACAGACTGGGACGCAGCCTGCTCTCCGAAACTGCTCTCAGCCACCCCTCCCTCCTCTCGCCCTTTCCTTCCTTTTCTTACCTTGTCACTTTCCTCCGGCCCCTTTCTCACTCTTTCCCCTTTCCCTCCCTTCTTTCCTCTTTCCCATCTGTCCCCCTCTTCAGTCCAGATCTGATCCATTGCACACCCCTTCCTTCCATCCTGGGTTTCCCCGAAACCCCTTTCCCCCTCTGTGCCTCCCACTTCTCCTAGATTGAGAGTCAGCTTGGTTTCTTTTCTTTACATCCGTTAGTGAGGGTCGGGCTATTTGTTATGTTTCTCTTCTTTTTTTTTTTTTGAGACGGAGTTTCTCTCTTCTTACCCAGGCTGGAGTGCAATGGCGCGATCTGGGCTCACTGCAACCTCCGCCTCCTGGGTTCAGGCAATTCTCCTGCCTCAGCCTCCTGAGTAGCTGGGATTACAGGCACGCGCCACCATGCCCAGCTAATTTTTTGTAGTTTTAGTAGAGACGGGGTTTCACCGTGTTAACCAGGATGGTCTCGATCTCTTGACCTCGTGATCCGCCCGCCTCGGCCTCCCAAAGTGCTGGGATTACAGGCGTGAGCCACCGCGCCCGGCCCTTTTCTTTTTTATAACTTAATGCTATCAGGGTTCGGGGTGGGTGCTGGCCCCACGCCCTGTCGCACTAGAGTGTGTGCGACTCCTACAAAGTTAACAGCTTCTCCAGGTCAAGGGGTGGGATCCAGCTTGGTGATGTGCACGGCTCCTTTTGTCCACTTCACACGTCTCTGCTTCTGATTCTGCTTAGGGACCAACCCAAGAACAAAGCAGCCATTTACCGCCTCCAGAGGAGAGGCCGGCGGTGGCACAGCCAGGGCCTTGAACACCTAGAGACAAACTTCTCTCTCCCTCCCCTTGGCTTCTTTCCATTCTGCAGCTAGGGAGGAAAAGTAAACCAGAAATAAACAGCACCAAAGAGCGGGAATGGACACCCCTCCCCACTAAAGCGTACACACAGACTCTGACGGGTAATTTGGCAAGACCTCTGAAAACCAGAAATGAGCATCTCCTACCAGCCAGCCCATTGCTTATGCCTGAGCACAAGGAGGCAGGCACAGAGACGCTTGCTGAGAACCGTTTATCATAGGAAATGATGGGAAATAACTGAAATACCCGTCCAATCGTGACTGCTTGAACAACATGCGAAAGATATGGTATATCAGGCAGCAGCCTTTTGGTTTTTGTTTTCTGAGACTGAGTCTTGTTCTGTCACCCAGGCCAGAGTGCAGTGGTGCGATCTCAGCTCACTGCAGCCTCTATCTCCTGGGCTCAAGTGATCCTCTCGCCTCAGCCTCCCGAGCAGCTGGGACCACAGACACGAGTCACCACAACTGGCTAATTTTTCAAAAACATTTTTTGTAGGGTCAGGGTCTTGCCATGTTTCCCAGGCTGGGATAAGGCAGCAGGGTTTTTTCGGTTGTTGTTCTAATTTTTTAATTTTTTAAAATAAAGACAGCCAGGCATGGTGGTTCACACCTATAATCCCAGCACTTTGGGAGACCGAGGTGGGCAGATCACAAGGTCAGGAGTTCGAGACCAGCCTGGCCAACATGGTGAAACCCTGTCTCTACTAAAAATACAAAAAATAGCCAGTTATAGTGGTGCGTGCCAGTAATCCCAGCTACTGAGGAGGCTGAGGCAGAAGAACCCCTTGAACCCAGGAGGTGGAGGTTGCAGTGAGTAGAGATCATGCCATTGCACTCCAACCTGGGTGACAGAGGGAGACTCCATCTCTAAATAAATAAAATAAACAAATACAAAATAAAAAATAAAGACAGTGTCTCAATATGTTGACCAGGCTGGTCTCAAACTCCCAGCCTCAAGTGATTCTCCCATCTTGGCCTCCCAAAGTGCTAGGATTACAGGCATGAGCCACTGTGCCAGCTCAGGTAACAGTTTTAAAAGAGCTGTGTCTGTATCTAACCGCAGAGATGGGTCTCCAAGACATATTACTGAGTGAAAAAGGGGTCCGCGTGATACATTTGGTATAATCCTGATTATGTAACATTCCCCCTTTACACGCATAAAATGAAACACTAGGAAATACTTAGTGAGACAGGCTGGAAGGATGTAAACCAAACTGAGTTGTTACTTCTGGAAAAAGAGTTTGGGAGTGAGACTTTTGTCTGTAATTCTTTTATTTCTAAAAGTGAAAATAGATTGGTCTATAATTTTTGTCCTAGCCATCTTCTTTCTTTTTAAAAATTTGTGTTTTTTATTTAAACGGAGTCTCACTTTGTTTCCCAGGCTGGAGGGCAGTGGCTGATCTCACTGCAACCTCCACCTCCCAGGTTCAAGCGATTTTCCTACCTCCGCCTCCCAAGTAGCTGGGATGACAGGCACCCACTACCACACCTGGCTAATTTTTGTATTTTTAGTAGAGACTGGTTTTCACCATGTTGGCCAGGCTGGTCTTGAACTCCTGACCTAAAGTGATCTGCCAGCCTCCCTCCCAAAGTGCTGGGATTACAGGTGTGAGCCACCGCACCCGACCCGCCTTCCTTCTTTAGGGATATTGCGCCCCTCTGTGGAGAAAATTCTATCCCAACCACTTGCCTCCTTGGACTAACAAATAATTCTGCAATCAGTCTGGTCAGAATAAACAGTGTTCTGCAGGCAGCAGTGGCTCATGTCTGTAATCTCAGCACTTTGGGAGCCCGAGGTGAGAGGATTGCTTGAGGGCAGGAGTTTGAGACCAGCCTGGGCAACATAGTGAGACCCTGTCTCTGTTTTCAAAACTAATAAAAGAAAATAATAATAATGAAAAGAAGAAAGAAACAGGCTGGGCACAGTGACTCACACCTGCAATCCTAGCACTTGGGAGGCCAAGGCAGGTGGATCACTTAACCCCAAGAGTTCAAACCAGCCTGGGCAACATGGTGAAACCCCATCTTTAATAAAATTACAAAAAAAAAAAAAAAAAAAGAATGTTAGCTGGGTGTGAAGGCTCTCACCTATAGTCCCAGCTACTTGAGGGGGCTGAGGTGGGAGGATTGCTTGAGCTCAGGAGGCAGAGTGTAGTGGTGTAATCTTAGCTCACTGCAACCTCTGCCCCCTGGGTTCAAGCAATTCACCCACCTCAGCCTCCTGAGTAGCTGGGATTACAGGCACAGTGAGACCACACTCCAGCCTGCGCGACACAGTGACCCTGTGGCAAAAAAAGAAAGAAAGAAACACACACACACACACACACACACACACACACACACACCACCAAAAAGAAAGAACAAGAGAAAAGAAAGAAAAAGGAAGGAAGAAAGAAAGGAAAGAAGAAGGCAGGAAGGGAGGGAGGGAGGGAGGAAAGGAAAGGAAGAAAAGAAAAGAAAAGAAGGGAAGGGCAATCCTTAGGGGTGAACCTAGCAATTCTGCAAACATTCTAGTTTGAATCACCTCCGGTTAGATGTCCAGACCCATGAGCCAACAGTGACTTATTCCAGAGTGAAATTCCTTCAGGGCAGGAGGGCCGTCCGAGTTAGTTTGTCTTGGGCTGAAGTCTCCTGGAAATGAGGATGGCAGATATCTACTGGAAAGCAAAGACTTGGTTTCAGGAAGCAGCATCACCTACTCGAACTAATAAAACACAAAAACCACTTTGAAGCATTTTCAAGGAATGAATGTGAACAAGTTCAGACATTATGCAAAGGGCCGTTGGGAAAGCCAGTTCATTTCAGCCACTTCCCACTCCCTCGCTGACTAAATGTAGGGCCACATGCATCTCACCGACAGGACGGGCAAATAAATGGCCCTTGTGTTCGTGACAAGGAGCTGGGGACAGGATTCTGCAGTGTGCTCTTTTCTGTCTATCACTTGTTAAGCACCTGCCGGCTTTGGGAAAACAGCTGGGGGAGTTACTGTAGAGACGACAATTGACATTCCCCACAGCCTCCCATCCCCTGCGACCACCACCAATCAGGGCACCCGGCCTTGACCCCATCTTCCAGGGCAGAAGGAAGCTCCAGGTTTGGAGCCCAGCAGCCTGAGATATGGGGTTCCAGCCATCCCCAGATGTGGCACAGCCAGACCATTCAATGTTTCTCAAAGTGGGGCTCCCAAGGGGTGCCGCCCAAGCTGACTTTAGATGACACACAGGCTGGGCATCAAACACTGAATCTCATAGTAAGAAAGCCATTCCGCTCCTATGACCATACTGGTTCAATGCCATCTGGCCAGGAGAACGTCTCAGCTTGAGCTCACCTGTCTTTAACACCTAACATTGGCCAATCTCCCTTTTTAACAAAGAAAGCCGGCCCCACGCTTAGGTCATTCTGCTGCTAACAGCATCTAACTAGAACTGTATTTGGCAATTGATCATGGTTTTCCATGAACATTCTATTTTTAGGAGTTTTTTGTTTGTTTGTTTAGTTTAAAAGTGAGTCCACCAGATAAGGGAAAAGCTAACAAAATCTTAATAAAGTTTAGTTAATAAACGTGTATCCTAATGGTTCATTCGTCTTGATAAATGTACCATAGTAATGTACGATGAACAGTTAAGAAAAACAATAAGAAATCCATGCAGGGTAGATAGAACCCTCTGTACTATCTTTGCAACTTTTTTGTAAATCTAAAACTATTCTGAAATAGCCTATTGAAGGCTGGTTGCAGAGGCCGAGGTAGGCAGATCACAAGGTCAAGAGATTGAGATCATCCTGGACAACATGATGCAACCCTGTCTCTATTAAAAATACAAAAATTAGCTGGGCGTGGTGGCGTGCACCTATAGTCCCAGCTACTCAGGAGGCTGAGGCAGGAGAATCGATTGAATGCAGGAGCTGGAGGTTGCAGTGAGCAGAGATCGTGCCATTGCACTCCAGCCTGAGCAACAGAGTGAGACTCTGTCAAAAAAAAAGAAAAAAATTAGCTGGGCACAGTGGCATGTGCCTATGGTCCCAGCTGCTCAGGGATGGAGTCTTGCTCTCTGTCACCCAGGCTAGAGTGTAGTGGTGTGATCTCAGCTCATTGAAACCTTCCCCTCCCGGGTTCAAGCAATTCTCCTATCTCAGCCTCCCCAGGAGTAGCTGGGATTATAGGTGCGTGCCAATATGCCCGGCTAATTTTTTTGTATTTTTAGTAGAGACAGGGTTTCCCCATGTTGGCCAGGCTGGTCTTGACCTTCTGACCTCAGGTGATC